AGTTGCATTATGGGAAATGTTTGATGTTTTAAACAGTCGGCGTGTGGACGCAGAGGGAAGGTTCGTTTCAGCAGCGTCAACGGGCGGAAAGAGTCAGAAAACAACTTCAATCGTGGCGTTATCTTCAAGTTGGAACAATGGGTGTCGGATCCCGCTCGGTCGACTTTCCCTTCCTCGCCACGCTAATTAACGTCAGCGCCTTATCGGCCTGTGGCACGCGGACGAGAGACACCCACCGCCGGAGAGACAAGGGGGGGGACAGAGACAAAGACAAAAGACTCCTTCAAACTACTGATAGCGTCTCTGCAGATAAAAGTCTGTGTGTGTGTGTTTCAATACATCTCCAATACATACAGAATGCTGAGGGTCCAATTTCCTGACGAGATGGCAAAGCTGTGTGTGCGTCTGTGTGTGTGCGTCTGTGTGTGCGAGCCAGAGTCTGCACATCCAGCGTCACCCGAGGACAGATGAGCAGCGCTAGAAGAGAAACGTGGGACGGAGAGCAGCGAGAGGAAGGACGAGACAATGAGGACGTGCGGCCTTTATGCCTGCACATCACTGGACACACACACACACACACACACACACACACACAGAGATCCTGTCTGCTGCGTACAAACACAACTTTCACGCTGAGCGCTCCCCCACGGCCACCATGAGCACAAACGCCTTGAAACAGAGACTCTTTGGTTTCGGCGCGAGGAAGACGGCGCGAGGAAGAGGCGCGTCGGCGAGCGCGTACCGGCTCCGCCTCCAGGCCCGCCGAACTGACGACGAATCAGCCCCCTGAACCCCGTCGCTCAGCTTCTCCTCGTGTGTCGGTTTCACTTTGGCCGTCCGAGGTTCCTCTCAGCCGCTCCGAGAGCTTCGGCGTGAGACCCGAGCCGCCACTCAAGCGTCGGATGGGAACGCGCGAGCCGGCGAGTGGAGCGACGGCTCAGATACCAGCTCGCTGCATTTATCTTCTCATGAAGCTGAACAGTCGATATTTGAGCCGAGACGGAATTTAACCAGTTTAATGCCTTCAAAAATCACTCAAATGTCTCACACACACACACACACACACACACACACACACACACGTTTCATCTCAGAGTCCGGGAACATCCGGCGGGCCTTGAACTCAGCGCCGTTTACTTATTAATTTCACGCGGGACCTTTGGACCGAATGTCAACGAGCTTCCAGCCGCCTCGTTTCATGCTAACGGAAGGAACGATGTTCATCGACGTTCTTTAAGAACACGGGATCCACTTGATGACTAATTGGGTCGCCGTCAAAGGAACGTAGGCGCTTGTTAACATTCAGGCCCATTGCCTTCATATACGAAGGATTGTGACATCATGTGTGTCATTAAAGAGTGTGTGTACCGTTTACGACGTAAAAGACCCTTCCAGCGATGACTGAGTCGTTCCCATCGAGGTCAAACCACTTCCTGTTCCCGTCCCGTTAAAGAAAGGCGTGTTGCTTCTGTTTGCCACGGATTCCCCCGTTAACTGACAACATTAAGCTTATTGGAGTGCGAGATGCGTGAAGATCTTTCATCAGCGCCGACCGGCGTAATTACCCATCATGCAACTAGAGAACACGACTGATCGGGAGTGTTGGTTTTCAATTAATCCAACAAACGTTCCGCTTCTTTTAGGTTCAGGAGGAGAGTAATTGTTTCAAAAAGCTGGAAAAAAAAAAAGGAAAAGAAAAACGAGCCGTTTAAAAAAATGTCGGAGGTGAAAAGAACCCGATAAAGAGGAAGGAGAGAGGAGTCAAGAAAGTAAATAACATGAGCATAAGGGTGGAGGAAAGGAGGAGGGAGGGGACGCGGGCAGAAAGAGGCGGGTTTGTGTTTGTTCTCTTGGCAGCGACTGGTTTTCCGTTACTGGCTGAATAAAGTGAGACCACGTGACCCTCGGCACTGGAG